CTCCTTAAAGAAAGGAGGGATGAATCTCAAGTAAAGATGGCCATGTACCGACGAAAAATGACCAGATATTATGACTCAAAAGTGAAGAAGAAGAAGACATTCAGGTTGAACGAATTGGCGCTTCGAAGGGTGTTCCCACCGTCGAAGGAACACGGGCCAGGGACCCTTGGCCCGAACTAGGAAGGTCCTTGCCATATATATAAGGAAATTCAACCAGGAACATATAGAATCAAAGATATGGATGGAAAGGTACAACCTCATCCTTGGAACGTGGAGCACTTACGTAGGTACTACCAATAATGTAAGACATCTTGTATGAATCATTTGTTTTGTTCAATGAAGAAGCAGTGCTTGTTCCTCCAAAAAAATGAATCAATTATCTCAACAAAAGCTAAGAAGCCTCGGTTAATCCTATAAGGGCTAAGAGCCTATAGGTTCAATCTTTTATCTCAAAGGCTAAGAGCTTCGACTTACTTAAATTTTCTCTCAAAAGCTAAGAGCCTCGACTTATTTAAATATTACCTCAAAGGCTGAGAGCTTCGATTTATTTAAGTTTTATTGAGGCTAAGAGCTTCGACCTATTCCTACAGTGCTAAGTGTCCAAACATTATCTAGTTGGAAACTTATGAGGAATAGAAGTTGTTAACAATAACAATTACGAATCACGCATCAAGAAAAAGATCAAACAAGGAATGGAGTAAAACAAAATAGAATTTCATTCGAAGAGAAAATGAATAGGCCGAAGCCATTACAATGAAATTGCCGCAAACATCAAGGGGTGGGGGTTGAGGAGCTACAAATGGTACAATAGCCTGCTCTTCGGGATTCTCCTCGTCAAGTTCAATTATTTGAGGTTCTTCCATAGGAGTTTGAGGTTCCTCCTCTCCCACATCATCACCCAGGAACTCGGCCCTCAGATCAGAAGAATCGAAGTCTTGAGCATGCTCTTCTAACCATTCAATGACTTCATTATAGGTATACCACCTCCAGTATATGCCAAACCGCTGATAGAGCTCAGTCAGATGAAAATTGGCCAAAAAAGTTTTCTTCGCATCTTTGCTTGCTGCCTCGGCATCACTTCTGACGCTCTCAACTTCTTCAATAAGGCCAGAGACTTGGGAGGTTAGTTCTTCTACTTTCCCCTTCAGCGTAGAGTTCTCCTCGGCAGCCAGTTTTTGGTGTGCATCAGAGGTCTCCACCTTTTTGGTCATTAAAGCCACCTCGCTTTGGCACAAATGGACCTCCTTCCTTAAAGATTCAATCTTTGAAAGGGCAGAGGCTAGCTTTGTGGATTCTTCCTCCTTCTCTTTCCTTAGAGCCTCAACCTCCGATCTGGCCTTAGCAGCCTCCTCATCGGCTTTGGTGGCCTTGCTGGCAAATCCCCAGTTTTTACTTTGAAGACTTTTGAAAATGGCTTCAGCCTCTATAGCCATACCAAAGGACCTCTCCGCTTGGGCCACCATGGTCTCAAAGACATCCACCGCGTCATTCTGCTTGATGTAATTTTGCCACTTATCCGTCCAGTACTTATGAAATGTTGTGGTAGCTATCTGGATCTCTCGGGAAAGGAGGGCGAGGGCCTCAGTTGCCAGAGCGTCAGAACGAGTGGCCATTGCTGCTTTCTTTCTTGGAACCTCGGAGCTTGTGGAGTCACTAGCAGCCTTTATCTTCTTCGAAGGGACTTGTCTCAGAGGCTCCACAACGGTTGGTCTTTTGTGGCTCTCAGTGGCTGCAGCCATTGAGCTACTTAGCAGTTTACTCCCCACATGAACTTCGAAACGGGGAGGAGGAACATCATTTGAGCCACCCGCCCCACTTGGTGTCGGAACTCTGAACTTCTTCTTTGGTTCCTCTTCTATCACCTTCTTTCTCTTGTCCTTGGGAAGTGGGTTTTCTTCTTGAGAGCTAGCCTCCTTGCTGACCCTCTTAATCTTGTCCCTCACCTACATTCCTCTAGCAAATGAGGGCTTCGTCCCTCGGCCAATAGTGGAAGTGGCAGCAAGGATAGTAGCCATGTCCGGGGTGGGAGGCTTCCTTTTATTAAAATTCTCTGCAAAAACCAAAGAATGGAAAACATTAGCACAACACATGAATAACAAAACCACATAATCATCAGAGTATCGAGGCGAAAATCTACCTCTCTTCGCCATTAATCCGAAGTCCTCAAAAAATCGGGTCGACTGGATTAAACGAGCAAAGTCACGAGCGGAGAATGATTTCTTGTACACTTCAGAGAGAGTATCACAATCACTCTCTGTAAATTGAAAACGCTCAACCGAACCTGCACAACCACAAAAAGGGGTAAGTATCAGACCTCATCGGTTCGGAAAACATAAACACAAGGAAAACACTCACGAGCATCGGAATACGAAGTTGAGACTTTGACATGGGGAACAAAGTCACCCTCACACTCCTGCCACCTCCCCCTCACCCAGAAACAAGTTTCAGTCTACCCTTTGATGGAGGTTGGCAAACCCACCACAAAGGGGGAATGCGATCCCCAAGGGCACAACGAATACCACCCCCTTAAGTCCCCCTTTCCTAATGACCTGGGTTGGTAAACCGTTTGGAAGACATGCAGAGGCATATCCTCACCTAGAGATGCCTCTTTCCAAAGGAAGTAAGAGCCCACTAATTGGGCCAAGGCATTGGGGACAAGCTGGGTAGGGGCTATCCCATATAATCTGAGGACGGCCCGAAAGAAAGGATGGATTAGTAAACAAAGCCCGCTTTCAACAGGAACTCACTTATGGCAACACATCTCTGCCTAGGATAACAGACTCGTTCACTCATAGAAGGAGAAAGGAGTTCGATATCATAAGGAATCCTATATTTCTCTCTAAGGGTGAGCAAGTAGGTCGGATCTACAGAGGATCGAATTTTGGACGCCCCCCAAACTGTCTCGTCACTACCACCAACATCCCCAGAAACAGAAAAGCCCCTCCCAGCCTCTACAGCCTTAACAAGGTTGGCAGTATTTGTTATTTGAAAACCCAACTCATGGGCTAACTTACTAACATTCACTTGTTCCCCTGATGGTTTTGACGTAGCCATTAATTTTGCAAATAAGGAGAAAAGTTATGATACTTACGGGTTTCCCAAAGAAAATAAGAAGAAAAAGACAGGAGAACTCTCGAGGGAATTCTGAGAAGAAAAAGCTCAAAGGATTCAGGAACTTGAAAAAGAAGAGTGCGGGAGTACTTGCAAGAAAGAATAAAGAAATTCCTTCAAAAAGTTCTCTGCCTTTTATAGGCAAACTCACTCAATCCTAGCCGTTGGATCTTGATCCGGACCATCCAACCATGGATTAACAAGATTTATAATTCAAGCCACTCACAATGTCTGACGTTTGGCCTTCAAAGGCTAAGATCTGGACGTGGCTTACACGCATCTGAAATCTTATTGAAGAATGTGGGAAACAATCGTCATTATGTATTTAATGCGACGGCTATTGCGTGTGTTGGAAGTTGAAATGACCCCAACTATTTTTCTTGGGAAGGTACCACGACATCAAATTATTGAGGCTCCATGATTAAAACGCTTCGTGAATCTCAGCGTGGTTGGAAAAATAACAAATCCTCGTAATCATCAATCCGAGGCCACTCATTGTTCATGCTTCATTTAAACAAGGGAAGGAGCCTCGGCCATTTAAAAAAATTTGAAGGGATCTCGCCAACAAAGCTCTAAGAGAGCATGAAGCTCTAAGAGAGTATATTCTTTCTAAAAGCTCTAAAAAAGCATATTTTTCTGAGGCTCTAAGAGAGCTTGAAGCTCTAAGAGAGCATATTCTTTCTAAAACCTCTTAAATAGCATATTTTTTTGAGGCTCTAAGAGAGCATATTCTGTCCGAAACTCTAAGAGAGCGTGAAGCTCTAAGAGAGCATATTCTTTCTAAAAGCTCTAAAAGAGCATATTTTTCTGAGGCTCTAAGAGAGCATATTCTTTCCGAAGCTCTAAGGAAGCACGAAGTTCTATAAGGACATCTTTTTAACCTGAAACTCTATCTCAATTTTACTTTCAAGTCCATGCATTACATAAATAATTATGCCTAGACTTGGGGGACTATTGTTATCCCCAAATTTCGGGGTATGAAGAAGTTGGGCTACGTGGCATGCCACGTGGCAGTACAGCTGACGAGGAGTCAAAAGGAAGGCCAATAGGTCAGAAGTCCAGGGAGAAAATGGGCCGAAGTCTTTACACAACGAGCCTCGGACTGAAACACTTCCTCAAAGGCGAAGCACAATCCAATCCGAAGTTATCACAGGGTCGTTCGAAACCCATAAGCCAACGTCGCCTCAACAGATTTGAAGATCTCTTAGAATTGATTGATAGGACGTCTGTAGTAAAGTGTCAATAACTTTTTAATGGCGTTGTCAGCCTACTTCTAGTGCGGCTGACCCTCTATCAAATATTAAATGTAACAAATGGATGTGATGTGAAGTTTCAGTTTAGGAGATGTTGCCACGTGGATCACACAATCACCACGTCAGTTAGAACAGTATAAATAGCCTTCATTTGTATAAAAAAGGAAGGAGGGTGAAACGCTGGAAAGAAAAAAAGGCAAATATATTCATTATATCTATCCTTCCACATATTCCATAACAAATGCAACGTTTATTAGCAAATAGAAAAAAGGGCAATCATTGATAGCGTGATTGTGATCAAATCCGATCGTCGGAGTCTGAACATTTGTGTCTCTCCGAAAAGTGCTTCCCACGTTCATTCCAGTAAAGCTACCATCCCTATTCCGGTAGAAACGTGCCAGATCAACGCTTGACGTAATGAGAGTAGACCCGACATCTGTTGAGTTCATTTTTAGGGTCAACAATGCATATGATGATTAATAACAAATTCAGTACTAAAAATAAAATTACTGAAAATAAAATAAAGTAAAATTCTAATATGTTTTGGGGAGGACAGTTGACACCAAATCAACAATAAGATCAATTAAACCTTATTATTAATAATTTTAAGTCGATTGCATTAAGACTCGTAACTTTTCATTTGCTCCCCGTTAAGTTCTCTACATCCTTCTGCACTTTATCATCATCTCCTCCCCATTGTTTGATTCTTTTGGTCGCAACAGAAGCCTGCTTATAATTCAAAGAAGATCAGAATTAACGCAATTTATCTCAAATTTATTACATTTAAAAAAAAAAGGTGCTAGGTTAAACTGACCTCTTTATTCCAGTTGGTTCTGTAAACAATATAAAAGAGGGCGAGAGTTTGTATTATTGTTCCAAATATCATTCCAAACCAAATACCCTGAAAATCATCACAAGTAAATATGAATTAAATTTTTATTAATTATAGAATTCTATTTTATGAACTTATACACTTACCCGAACACTCCAGTTTACTACAAACCCTAATACGAGTCCCAAAGGAATGCCAATCAAATAGTAGCATACAATATTCACATAAGCAACTAAAGCTTGCCATCCAGCTCCAACGGCCACTCCTGCACCAACCGATTTACATTAGGCGATTATGTAATTATATAAATTTTGAAGCCAGAAATCTGATAATCGAAATAATTAAGTCATACGATGAAGTGTTTTAATGTGTCATCACTTTGGTAATGACCATTTTGTCGCTCCAACGATGATCTCTCCTTAAACCACATATTATAATGGAATCTTTCTATTTCATAGCCTTGTAAACCAGGTCATCTTTCTACGAGAAAATATTCAATCGGTAAAAGAACGTATACATACCTGATAGAGCGGGTTGAATAGCATTGATGACAATGCAAAATGCAAGCAATGGAGTGAGGTGGGACACAAGTTTTCTCACTTGAACGCTATCTACAAATAATGAAGGATATTGTTCACTGAAGCTGAGGAGAAAGATGGCGACGACGACGCCGATCGTGAAGGAAGAAACAACCACCACCACCACTGAAAATTTGGCCTTTCTTGGATGAGCAGCCCCTAGTTCATTCGACACTCTTACACTGCAAAATTTTATATGAATAAAAAAATTTATTTTTCTTTTTGACTTCATTTATTGAAAATACTTTTCAAAAAATGCGACTTCAGAAATTTCAATACTAACCTTACTGCTGCATTCCATCCAATGGCTACTGTGGTTACCCATAGCACAATGTTCATGCTGTAAAATTTATCATAAAAGTGGATTTTTATTTCACTATACAGGAAAAAAAAAATTTATTTATTATTACTAGAACCCTAAACCTTAATCTCTACAAACTTTAATAGATACCTCACGTTTCTGCTTTATAAACACGACTTTTGAAAAAGTGTGTCGAATTGGAAAAAGAATCGTTGGTAAACGATAACTAAAAACGCTTTTTGTGCGGACCAATAATATGGCTACTGACCATACGGATAAAGCATCAACTTGAAGTTCTGCATTCTTCAAATATCCAGCAAATAGGAGTAAAGCCGTGTAGTACCACACTTCCAAGCTGTAAATATATGGATAAGAAAACATTAAATTAAACAAAGATATTTGATCGCCCTTACGAATCGGAATCGTTTTTAGCTGCTTTTTCATTTTAAAAGAAACTGTTAAAAATCGCTTTTAAGCACCATAGTACAGAGGTGCAACCTTATAGGCTAGTCAACGTTAAAACAGTGGAAACTGCCAGTTTTCTATTTATTCAATTCAATTTAAATATATTACAATGCTAAAATTAGTATCAATTATAAACAAAAATTCATTTCTCTTAGTACTGATTTTCTGAGTAATTAATAGTAAGAACATAAAACAATAAATGGAACAGTACTACAGTAACACTATAAATTCATATAATTGAGAATCACAAAGACAATATTAAAAAAAATTATATGAATTTATATGAAAAGTGATTTTGTGAAAAGTGTTTTTTAAGGTAAGTACGTGATTAAAAAGTACAAAAAAAATATTACGTGCTCAGATATAAAAATATTTTATTAAAAACGACGAAATTTGGAGAAAATTGACCTTAAGAAAATAGGGCCAAGCAGTGGAAGCTTCCAGTTTTCTATTTATTCAATGCAATTTAGTACAATGCTAAAATTAGTATCAATTATAGACAAAAAATCATTTCTCTTAGTACTGATTTTCTGAGTAATTAATAGTAAGAACATGGAACAGCTAAGAAAAATTAGATAATATGTTATTAGTTTACTTACCATAACATAACTGCTGATGCAAGGGATAACCTAACAAAACCCCACAGATTTTGAAAGGCCTTCCATGAAAATCCAGTCCAAGCTCTACCACAGTACCCCATGAATATATAAACCAGCTGCGCCACCACTATAAACCACCACGATAAGTTCAATACCACTGCCCCGGCCGCCATCCCCCACCCCAACTTCAGCATAAACAGCCAGCTGAATAAAGTATGAAGAGCCAAAGCTATGGCAGAAATCCATGCCATGGCCATCATTTTGCTCTGTGCTTGCAAGAATTTGGCTATTGGGAAATTCATTGCATATGCATAGAGTTGAGGTATCATCCAAATCGAAACTATTCCGGTAGCTTGTGATATCTCCCGCGTCTGGCCTATAAATAACAGAAGTGGCCGCGCGAAAATGTACAAGAACATTAGAATAAATGCAGTTGTGAGAAGGATAATCCATGATCTTTGCATGTAAACCCCTAGCATGTCGAATTGTCCAGCACCATAGGCTTGTCCGCAGAGAGTTTCCAGTGCACTTCCCATTCCTAACTGTTCAAACAATTTAAACTTTTTAGACTAGATGATTTAAAATAGTGTGTCAGAGCTAGTTTACCTTTTACTACCGCTTTTTTGGCGAGCTCCGGTCAAGATATCACAAAAACGCAAAAACACCTTAAACTAACATTGAACTCAAAACTAAAAATAGTATACCATGACTCCGAAAGAAAAACTGGCGATGACAGAGTTTTCGACAGAGAAAGCAGCCAGTTCGCGAGTGCCAATATGGCCGGCGAAGACTTGTGTAATGGCGCCGAGGGAGTATTGGCAAATGGAAGTGAAAATGGCTGGACCGGCAAGGTACCAGAGTTTCCTAGACTCAATACAAAACTGTTCAATGAAAACTCGAACGCCGTTGATTGGAGGGATGTCATTTTCGTCGGCGGTGAAAGATGAAGTAAAAGAGCGGATTGAATGTTGAACTGAATACTCTTGAACTGATGAATCTGGGATTTGATCATATTTTACGGGGGAAAGAAGTGGTTTTTTGACGCTGTTTTCCATTTCGAGACACAGACGCAGATACGATAGAGAGGAAGAGATGAATATTCGCGATTGGGTACTTGCTATTTATTGATTTCAAAAAAGCCAAATCGTACCGGTATTAATCATACAAGGATAATTTTTATGGTCATTATTTTGAAAAAATTAAATTTTGAATAATAATTTTTTTTTAAATGTATAATTAAAAAAGACTTTTTCTATTTATGTATAAAATATTTTATGGTATAAAAACGAATATAAAAATTAAAAATAATAATTATCAAAGTGGGCTGAACATGTCTTTGATTTGAAAGTTGGTAGACAGAGCTCGAAACTTCGTGAACCTCTCAAACGTGTATTTTTTATTAAAAAGTTGGTAGAAAAAGCTGGAAACTTCATGAACCTCCCAAACTGTTATACAGAGAGAGAGAGAGAGAGGTGTTATGTTGACCAATTATCTTAAACGGTAAATCATCGTTTACATTATTTTTTATATTTTATTACGTAACAATACATCATTGAATAATTTAAATTTGTAAGAATTTTTTACCCAATCACCATTTGTCATGTTAAAAATCAACGTTCAAGTGGCATTTCCCTAGTGATGTTTTTAATTACTATGATCCGTCTGATATTTTTGTGACCACGCACAAGAGAAATAGAGTTCTTGAATTTTCTTAGAAGAAAAATGGAGAAGATTGAAGGTTTGAAGTGAGGTCTTGCGAGTCAAGTGTACGGATTTGATGTGGGTGTACTGTTGCCATGATGATGCGTTGCCCACCAGCGCTTCCCTTGCTTCAGTCAAAATACTCAAAAATTTTCCACTCGTCCGACAAGCAAGGGTGTTCATCACGTGTGGTTAAATATGAAGTGGAGATTAAAATTCAAATAAAATCTTCAATTAAAATGAAGAATTAATTCTGACCACATATTTTATGGAATACATAACTTGTCAGCTACACATTTCATCATTTTTTATGATTTTAATTCTCACCGAAGTAAGTGATGGCTCTAATGGAGTTCACCATTTTTCAAGCATCATCTAGACTTTATGGGTAGACGAGGGAGGCAACCTAAAATGTAGGTGTTGGTATGTGTCATTTCATTTCTAGCAAAGGTCAAAAGAGAATAAGGTTTTCCATAATGTTGTTTTATTTGTCATTGCTTGCAATTGAGTTGATTGTATTTCAATTTTTGATCTCAAGTGCTGTAATTGTGAGCAATGATATTAATGAAAGCCCTTTTTTACTTTAAAAAAAAAATTGTAAAAGTCCATTTATATGCTAAAAAAATTACCTATAACTAGGGTTGTAAACAAAAATCGCTAAATCGAAAAATCGAATCGAAATCGCAATTTCGAAATGGCGGTTTGGTGCCACGTGGATCCGTCAACGAAATGATTTTGAACTAAATCAAACAGGTCAAAAACGGTTTCGTTTAGGTTTGAGAATTTTAATTACGGTTTAAAACCAAACCGAACTGACGAAAAAAAATAAAAAATAAAAAATAAAAAATTGAATTTTTTTGAAAATTTATCCAAAATTCCAATTTTGTAAATTAAATAATTTTGTCATTTTGTTGGTATTTTTTTCAATTTCTAATTTCCTATTAGTTATTACGATTTTCGACTCGTCCAAATCCCAACCCGATCAAATATCCTAATTTAAAAAAAAAAAAACGAACTCAAACTCTCACAAACACAAC